AGAAGACGACGATGACGACGACGACGACGACTGCAACTTCGTTATTAATTTATACGACATTCTCGAAAGATAGATATTCTCGAAAGAGAGAAAGAGAGAGAGAGAGAGAGAGAGAGTCGTCGATGAGAGAACGTAACGCGAAATAACGTGAAATCTTCTCCGCGTGCAAAGTCGACGGATTTATCTTTAAATCCGTAGGAGTTTATCGCGAACGGGGACATTTATTTCGCGGCTTAATTAGCTGACGCGCTCGGAATTTCGCCCCCGCGCGTATTACGCGCGTGCTCTCGTCGCATAATAAACAATTATCATATCGTCGCGCGCTGGACATCTCTCGCCGGCTATCTCCGAATCTTTGACGCGATGTAATATTATTGCTTGGTTTCGGTTTCGGCGAGCTTGAAAATGAAATTAGATTTCGTGAGAGCGCGCTCAAGGAAGGCGAAAGATTTTTTTTTTGCGGCTTGATGGGATTCCGGGAATCTTATCGCGTGTCTCTCGAAGACGCATGGTTTCGATAAAAAGAATTGCATCGGCGGAGGCGGGAATTTCTTTGAAAAAAAAAAAAAAAAAAGGGAAAGGAGTACGTCGAGAAGAGACGAGGGAGAAAGGAGAGAAGTGTAAGAGCGAGAGGAACCTCGGCGCGAATTTATGTTCCGCACGCATGGGACGATTTATGGGCAGCTAATTGGGGGAATGAAATCGGCAGTGGAGATGGAAGAAAGGTTCTCGTCTAAACGAAGACGAAAGACGGGATGTGGGGGGTGCGAAAGACCAGGGAGAAAGATCCGACGCGCAACTTTTAGGATTAATTCTCGGATAAAACGGTCGGCCGCACGCCATCCTCACGCAGCCGTTGGTTAACGTTTGTCAGATTAATTAATTAACAGCTGCGCAGGGAGAGGGAGGGAGGGAGAGAAGCAAACTTCTGCGCCTTCGTTCTTTCTTCCGTTCTTTTCGCCCGAGTGTGTCGGTGAATGTCGAAATTAAATCTCTCTTCTCTTCAAGAAAAAACGAATATCACTCGCTAAAGTCACTTCAACTTTCTGGTTGCTTCGTTCCGTAATTTTTAATTGTTCCAATAATTGTTCACTCGGTGATATACGTATGTAATTTTTCCTAGAATTCTATTCGCGCTTATTTAATTTGTATTTCAATTATTCTGTTATTTCTCCAATGCGTCTCTCTCCGTCGGTGTTTTTCTGTAAATCATTTACGGGACGATTTGCAGTTAGGAACTGCAACATTTCGCGGTTAAATGCCGTCAACTTTCCGTGCGCTTCGAATCCGCGCACGGAAACTCGGCTAACTTCTCAATAAAATTGCTCGTAAAATTATTAGCAGATACGGTCGACGAGGAGATATAACGTCCTCCTCCTGTTCCTCTTCCTCCGTCCTCCTCTTTTGCGCCGACGATGTCCCGATCTGCTTTACGTCGCAATTAAACCGAACACGTACGGCGCACCGGGGCGTAACTTGAACTACGCGTAAAAGCTCGGGGATTGCCGTCAAAAATGTAAACCGAAGTTAAGGACGATACTCGGGGGCACGAAGAAACGAGAGAGCGCAATGAGGCGAAGTTTAGCGCGCTCGTAAATTTCGTTCGAGGTCGAACACGCGTTGCGAAAGAAAACGTTAGCTATTTAACTATTCATTTAACTCCGAGCGAACCGTCTGCGGGAAACAGTTGCCGGCGATGTTTTACATAGAAAAAATATACATGTTGCTATTAACATTCTTCTCCCGGAAAATTTAAGAGGATGACTGTAACAGAGAGGAAGAGAGAGGAGCTCAGAAAATAATTTTTTCATTTCTTTTTTTTCTCTTTTCTCGAAGCTATTCTTGAACACTATTGTTGAACTCGTTTCTTTTTTTACTGCGTATAAATAAAATAGCAGAATCTAAAAATAAGATATATTCTACTTTGGTCTTCTCTCTCTCTTTCTTTCTCTCTGATACACGTGGAAATATGCAACGAGACGCGGAATCGAAAGCGCGTTTACGCGAACACCTAGGAAGAAATGCGCGCGGGTTCTCGAATTGTAGCGCGATCATCTCATCCGTCGCTGAAGAACTGTAACGTTTTGCAGTTCGCGGCTTTACTCTCTTCGCCTTTTACGTTCCTCTTCCCTTCTCATTCGAGCAGCGCGTGCTGTATCGTCGAGGTCACGATATTGCAATAAATACCGCATCTTGTAAATAGAGTCTACAATTACGTTTCTTGACCGAAGCCGAGCGCTCTCTCTCTCTCTGTATCTATGTATTGCGCTCGAGTTTGTGTTTGTCTTGTGTTTATATCGGTTATTTCGAATCGAGCTCTCTTATCGACCGTCGTCGTCGTCGTCTTCGTCTCCGTTTCCGTCTTCACTAAGGATCTGTATATCGGCTTCACGGAAAAGTGCCGCTTCACGAAGCCCTTCTTTTTAGACCGGCAATCTCAACTGAAATGGCTTTCAATAAAAGGCAATAACAATCGCTATATATAGCAATAATCAAGATTCCGAAGTTTTATTTTTATATATTTGTTGATGAAAGCTCTTGAAAAATATATTTTTCTTGTGTTTTGCGCACGGAGGAAGATTATAGGAGACACAACTTTTATTTATCTTCGGTCGTGTGTGCGTGTGTTTGCACGGAAACTTTTTTTTTTTCGCACAACCAAGCGATATTATAGCGCTACTTATGCGTCTGGAAATTTTATCCCGGCAACTCCGCGCGCGAGGCGGAGATTTCCTGTCGCCGCGGGGAGAAAAATTTCGTTAGGATATTCTCGGAGAGAAAGAGAGAGAGAGAGTGAAGTTATTTTTACGAAGTCAGATTTAGGAGCCTTGCCCGCGCGCGTGCTTTAATCTACATCGAAATTCTAATGTGGCGCGTTTCTTTAGCATTTTATGCTAATGTTCGCCACGTCGTATCCCCTTAAAGTTCACTTTGACAGCTTTACCGGCATGCGGCAGCTGATGAAAACTACGGACGGACCCGCGCCCGAAGACGCGTTTCGCACGTGCAAAGGACGGGAGTCCGTCATATTTCGAACATAATTTTGCTCGTCGACGGAAGAGATAGCCAAAACAAAAATGTTTACCTACAGGATTGTTAGGAAGTAATACGTTGAGAACTTTTACACAAATTATTACAACTGTAATAAAAATTGAAGAATCAAATATTTTTAAAAATTTATCCTATATAAAAAAGTCATTTGAATCGAGAAGTGCTCGTTTTGGAGCCGAATGTATCGCATCTATTGTTGCCTCTTTTCCGCGTTGCCGATTGGTTGGTTGATCGAGTCGAATCGAATCGGTAAGATCGAGAGAGTAAATAATAAAAAGCGATTTTGAGACAGTTCGTCGTATATGTAGAGAAAATTAAAAACGTAACTA